GTCGCTTGTATTAGTGGAAGAGGAGGGAATGCATAAAGTACGCCCTCCGGCCATCTGCTCTGGAGGGCATCCGTTCCCTCCGCCCCCCTCGCCGGAAACCTGGTAAAAAATCTGGGGAGTTGTGCATTGATCGGAGAGGCAAAGAGATCTAGAATGGGCTGTCTGAACCTGCGTGATATTTCCTGGAATAGGATTGAGTCTAACTTCCACTCTGAGTGATCCACTGTGACCCTGCTCAGGGAGTCTGCCTGTTGATTCGCCTCCCCCGATATGTGCTCTGCCCTGATGGACCTCAGGTTGGACTCTGCCCACAGCCCTATGGCCTGTGCTTCCTGCATGAGTGCCCAAGAGTGGGTGCCCCCTTGTTTGTTTACGTGAGCTTTGGCCGCAATGTTGTCTGTCAGGATTAATACGTGTTTCCCTGATACCAGGGGGGAGAATCTTTGGAGAGCCAGGTGGATGGCCCTGAGCTCCAGCCAATTTATATTGTGAGCCAGGTCTGAACTGGACCACTGACCCTAGGCTAAGTGGTTCAGAATATGACCGCCCCAACCGAACAGACTGGCGTCTGTGGTAAGGGTGATCCTAGTGGGTTCCTTGAACAGAGTGCCCTTGGACAAGGCGGACAAGGTCCACCATAGGAGGGAGGACAGAGTGTGATGGGGAACCCTGACCTTCCTGTTGGAGGCGCTGATGTTGCGTTTCTGAAAAGGAAGAAGGAACCACTGGAGGTTCCTGGAGTGCAGTCTGGCCCAAGGAACGATGCCCAGGCAAGAGACCATCTTCCCCAGGAGTTGGGATAATTGTACCAGGGGTACTCTTTTTTCCCCTCGGATCTGCAGTGTCAGCTTCTGGATGCTGACTTGTCGCTCCTGGGAGAGATATACCTTGCATAGGCTGGAATCTATCAGAGCTCCTAGATGGAGCAGACGTCTTGTGGGTGTGATGTGACTCTTTTTGAAATTCACGGAGAACCCGTGATCCTGAAGTGTTTGAATAGTGATTGCCAGGTCCGACTGCCCTGATTGGAAAGATTTGGACTGTATCAGTATGTCGTCCAGGTAGCACTGTACCCGTACGGGTATCATCCTTAGATGAGCCGCCAGCACGGCCAAGATTTTTGTGAAGACCCTCGGGGCCGAGGATAGGCCGAAGGGAAGAGCCCGGTACTGGTAGTGTTTGTGTGCGTAACAGAACCGCAGAAACCTGCGGTGTTCCTGGATGATCGGAATGTGTAAGTAAGCCTCTGTCAGGTCAATGGAGGAAAGGAAATCCCCCTTCCTGATACTTGCCAAGATGGACTTTAGGGTCTGCATCTTGAACCTCCTGTAAATGAGGAAGTAATTTAGACCCTTTAGGTCCAGTATCGCCCTCCAACCGCCTGAGGCTTTGGGAACTACAAACAGGATGGAGTAGAACCCTTCCCCGATCTGTTCCTGAGGAACCCTTTCTATGGCTCTGATCTCTAATAAATGAGCGATGGCTGTTGTGATTAGTTGTGTTTTTGATGTATTGTTTGAAACCGGGCACTGTATAAAACGATCTGGGGGAGAAGATCGAAACTCTAGGGAGAGACCCTGTCTTATGGTCTCTCTGACCCAGGCGTCTGTGGTTGTGTTTTCCCAAACGTCGTAAAACAGTGCCAGTCGACCCCCAATGGGGTAGTCCTCCTTGGCGTCACTTGGACCGCCTGTAAGGACGACTGCCTGATCCCCTGAAGGGACGCTTGGTCTGGAACTGACCCCTGGCTGCACTACTCTGGCGGTCCTGTTGCCGATCCTGTCTGAAAGAATAGGATCGCGAGCCTCTGGGCCAATCCTAGGACTGCCCTGCCCGAAAGGGCTGTCTCCAATCCCAGGAACCGCTGGGACGGAATGATGGCCTACGGAAGTCCTGTTGGGGCCGTCTATCTGGTTTTTTAGAGGGATGGGCCAGCGCCTTGCGCTTGTCCTTGCCCTCAATGATATGAGGCTCTAGGACCGGACCAAAAAGGTGGGTGCCACTGTACCTAGATGTTGCTAAGCGCCACTTTGCCTTTAAATCCGTGCGCCATTGCTTCAACCAGAGCAGCCTACGTGACGCCACTGAGGCTGCAATGGATCTGGCTGAACATCTAGCCGAGTGTAAGGATGCATCCGCAATGTATTCGGATGCTGCCACTATTTTCCCTATTGTTTGGTGCGCTCTGACCTGATCCGGCGGAATGAGCGTCTGGAATTCCTGCAACCACATAATTGCCGAGCGTGCAAAGAAGGAGGATGAGGTTGCCGCCCTTATGGCCCAAGCCGAAGATTGGTGAGCTCTACGAAAAGAGAACTCGAACTTTTTGTCCTCTGCCTTCAAGAATTCAGCCATGTCCCCCGGGACGGCGGTATTGGAGAACAGAGAGGTCAGCGTAGCGTCTACAGATGGGACTTCTAGAAGAGAAGCGAAAGAAGAAGAGACATTGTAAAGTTTCTTGTCTAAACTGCTCTGTGAAGGAGTGGTAGCAAGGGATGCCCACTGCTTTTCCAACGTAGACCTGAAGACTAGTGGGCATGGAATCTGCAGTTCCTCCTTGACCTTTTCCGCAAACAGAGGGTTGGCTTCCCGGTTGGATGAGGAAGAAGGAGTCTCCTCCTGGGCTGAGGTAAATTTTACCGTGTCAATAGCCCTTACGAGGAGTGACCGAAAAATGGCCGGATCGAAAAGCCCGGAAGAGGTCACCTGTTCAGGAGCTGGATCCTCCTCCTCAGACAAGGGAGTGTCTGCAACTCCCAGTTCCACTGATCCCTCCTCCCCTAATTGTGAGGATGTCTCCGAAACAGCAGAGCTAGGTCTAGTATCACGCTCCACCAGAGGTGGGGGAATAGATGCGGGAGGAGTAGGATGGGACTGCACCTGGCTACTCTCAGTTGATGACATAAACTGCCTGAATGCTTGGTGCATGAAGGCCTGGAATTGAGCCTGGGACCACATTTCCCCTTGGTCCCTGGAACTGACCCCAACCTCCGTTGAGGCACACCTGGTCTCAGGTGGTTGGTGTGCTGATGAAGGAGAGGAGCGAGGAGGACCTACCTGCTCGGTTTCCCCCCGAAGAGACCAAGGTCTTGGGGCATCCTGAGATGATTCAAATTGAGGTTCTGTCAAAGGAGTATCCAGTGGGGCGGGGGAAACCGTTTCAGTCCCACTGGATCTGAGCCTTTGTGCCTTGGAGAATTCTCTCTCCAATGCTAAGTGTCTCCTTGTGGCCTCTCGCCCGGCTGATTTGGAAGTATCTTTGGAAGACAGATGTTTGGTTTTAGCTTTTTTCTTCCCCCCCATGTCCAATTCTTCAGATCTGCGCTTTGCTTGAGCGGGGGGGACACTAGATTGAGAAGCCTGGGGCGAGGAGCTGTCTGCCATTGCTGTCTAGGTATTCCTGGACAGTAGTACCTAGAAATGGGGGGAGGAACCCAACACGCAGATCACAGTCAGAGATGGAAAACCGATCCTCGCTCTGAACAGAAGGCAATGGCAAGAACAGCCAGACAGTGTTCTAATGCTGTCTGTACAGGCCTTGTGACAAAAGGTCACGGGCTAAACTGAGAAACAGGTGGACAATAAAGGAATCTCTTCGCTCTTCTCTTCTAGGCCTTAGGACCAGTTAATAACACCTTGGTCTGCTCAAATGCAGCCAAGGCCCACACCTGAAGTAGCCCCCTCAAGTTTGACCACAACTCCTGTGGATACAAAAATATCTTCCCCCCTGAACAGGTCTGCTCACAGACCAAGTGACACAGGCAACAACTATGCGTCCGCAATAATGCAGGAATAACTGCCAATGATTATGCAAAAATTTCAATTAGGCCTCCAAAATGGCGTCCGCCACGTGGGACCTCTAGAAGCAGCCGCGCTAGACCATGCGGTCAAATGGCGGCCGCCAGGCCTTAAGGCCTGGAGAAGCAAAACCCTGTCGTATTTTAAACAGGAGAATCAATTACACAGCAGGGGAATACAAGGCTGATTTGGGATTCCTCCCCCAGTCCCCAAGCACTTGCAATTAGTAGCTCAGCCCCTGCTGCGATCCAGATAAAGCTGCAGTCAGGAATTCTCCCTCAAGGCCTCGAGGCAAGTAAATCACTCAGGAGGTCTCCGAGTTGAAAAGCCGACCTCCGCTACCCAGCTGAATTGGCGGAATCGCAAAGAGGCTACAGATCGTCGGAACAGGAGCTCCCTAACGAACGAAGCCTGCAGCCTCCTTTTCAAAGCCCAAAGGGCTGCAGGGGAAGGAGGACAGAGTCCCTATCCCCCCCAACGCAATCCTCTTAATTTGGAAGTGAAGCCGAATTAATCTAATTGTTAATCAATTTGAATTTAAAGTATCCAATTTTAATTTGAATAGCCTAAAAGAAAAAAGGAAAGAATCAAACTTAGCTAGGAGCCTTCTGAAAAGCGTCTTGCTGAGCACGAGACTAAGACAAAAACTGGGAAGTCACACCCAGAAGGAGGCGTGGCAGAGTTTTTTTGTCTTAGTCTGAGCAGGTGGGATTAAATTACCCGATCAGTGGAGTCTACATCCATCCTGATGGAGAAAGGCCAAATCAATAGTAAAATAAAAAGTTAAGGACATTAACTGCCAACATGATATCACCAATGCTCCTTAATTCTATTGCTAAATATTAGATAGCTCTAAGCCCTATAATGCAGCTATTAATCTAATGCTAAATAAATATAAAGGGGCCTTTTTCCAGAGCCTACTTTGATGTCATTCCACCTGCACTGATGGTGAAAATATTTCCTAGGATTCCTAATTTGAAGACACTTTGCTTTTGTGGGTCCAGGGAAGCAGAACTCTTGCTCATGTACTTATATGGTGTCCTTTTTATCATGTCCCAAGATGTGCTCTGTTCCCTAATCACCTCTAAATTTAAGAATGATACTGATAAATGCTTGCTTTTTAAGAAATTCTAACTCCACATTCATATACCAGGTGACCAAATAGTTTCACTAAGTCATACATTTGCGCAAAACTTTTAATTGGATACATTGTTTTATTGTCTTTTTCCCTGATAACATATCATTGTATTAAATTATCTTTTTTACTGTTTAAGCTGATCAAAAAGTGTAATAAAGATATTTTAGTACTCCCAATTCTTTATTCGAGAGTTCTTACAAATAACGAGCATCTATCTTAATTATACCTTTAGTTGTTTAAAAAGAACAGATCAATGGTTATCAAAAAAATGAACCAATATGGAAAATAATTTGGGAGTTTCAGATGTTTATAATGTATTGGGATCAAACTGAAATCAAGACATGATTAATTGAATGCACTGTATTTTTTTTTAAATTAGGGACAATCTAAGTTCATCTTACAATAATTCAATTGGTTAAAAAACTTGTTTAACAAAGTCTGTGTGATCCTTCTTATTTCTCCCACCTTAAACAAACCAGTCTGTACCCTATAATTTTAAATCTGGGAATTAGCAAATCTCATTTATTTTCCTCATAAATGTAGTAGAATATTTGTTTATTCAGTTTATTTATTCAATTGTGATTGAGATAAACAATTTGATAAATATATACATGAATAAAGGTTTCCTTACAATAGCTATCACCATGGTTCCGATTTTTCTGAATAAATGTCAAGTAGTAATTTAATATTGCGATATACTTGTTACAGAGTTATACAATCAGATTGTATAGAATGGGAAGGAATATCATCTGCAATTTTCATAATAATGTCAATATTTTTCAGCAACATACAACAAGGAAATTGAATAATAACTTTCAGTTACAATAGAAAATGAGTTATTCAAGCCTTAATAAAACAGGTCAGAAAACATTGAACAAGCGTCATTAAAAAAAAACCCCAAATCAAAAGGAACAGAAACTTCTCACCAATATATATCTAAACCGTTCAAGTGATAATCATCAAAGAGTTGTATGTTTTCATAGATTTCATGTCTTATTATTATTATAATTAGTTGCATAGTCAGCCAAATGCTTAGACCAGATTTGGTATTTTTATGCACCCATCAAGTCTTTCCCAAGAATCTCCGACAGCAGATGTTGTTCAATAATATTAAAGGTATTGTCACAGGATGTAAACTGTTCCAAGTAGTCTTTTGCAATTGGCAGATGATGATTTGTCATTGCTGATGGTGTTCATGTGCACTCTAGATGTTTTGGAAGTGCATCCAAGAATAATATTACTATTGATTTTATCTTTGCTTTATTTTGCCGCATCCCTTCTGCTTCTATCTGCAAGTCTTTTATGTTATGATTTTCTCCAGTTCTTTCTATGTTGCTGTCTCCAGGTACTGTAATGTCCACTATCCAGATTTTTTAAATCATTTTCATTAGCAATTGTTAAGCTTGAGGTGGCATTGTAGCATCTTCATTTCCTTTTACTTTTCCTATTTTTGTGGACCTAGCAGCTCTTGCTTGTAGACAAGATTGCAGAAACCCCTAGAGTCGAAAAGAACTGAGAATATTTTGGCTCAGACAAGGCCATCATTGACCACGCTTTAACCCTCTAACATCTAGTTGAAAAATACTCCTTTAAAGCATATTTTAAAACATTGATTTTAAATTTGCTTTTGATCTCATCTCCAGATGCAAATTATGGGACTACTATAATGCTTTGTCAATTGATAAAAGATTGGTTATTCTTACATACAAATTACTGTATATGAAAACTCCCGGATGAAAGTGATGAATGAAAGCCCAAATACACTGCACCAAAGAAACTGCTATTAAGGGGGGAGTGAAGACAAGGGTGTATTTTAGCTTCCCTTATTTTTAATATTGTTATCAATGAACTGAACAGCCCATGTCTTCATTTGCCAAAATTGGGAAATAGACACATGTGATGATGCTGTGCTACTTTGGTGCTGGGATTAGAATGCAGTATTGCAGGCTGACTCTGCCATTGCAGGAGTTCAATCCTGACCAGCTCAAGGTTGAATGAGCATTCCATACTTCCAAGTCAGTAAAATGAGGACCCAGATTTTTGGGGGCAATATGCTGACTCTGTAATCTGATTAGAGAGTTCTATAAAGCACTGTGAAGTAGTAAGTGCTATTGCTATTGCTTTCTCAAACAGATTGGCCTGAAATAGTTGTTCCAATATACTACCTGAACACTGCCAAGAAGAATGCTTAGAAATTAATTATTCTAAAACCAAAGTCATAGTTTTTGCTAAGCACCCTAAGATGGCTGGTCTGGGGACTAAATAATTATCTAATTGAGCAAGTCAAGATCTTTAGCTATCTGATTTATTTTTCCTGAGCTATAGGCATCCACAAATCTCTTACAAATCATTCCTTCCTTTGGAAAGAGTTTGCGTTTTCGAGAACCATCTTTCAAGAACTTCATTGCCTTCTGAACCTGATCTTTTGTCTTGAAGCTGGCCTACTTAAAACTGAAACTTCTGCCTGGATTTTCATCTTCTGCTATTCAATTAAGCTTTCCTTTTTTCCAGTCTATTTGATCCCTTTAATTATGATTGACAGCTTTCAATCTTCCTAAAGCCAGCCAATATATGCTAAATTATAACTTTATGACTTTTCATGGTGAGCCATCACTTTGATGGGCTATTAATGTGCACTAGCTGATCTCAACAAGATGTCACTGATTTAGAGCTGAAAATAGACTACCAAGCTCTATCCAGAAATATCTTCTTGAATCCCTTTGTACAGTTTGTTTAATCAGCTATATATTTCAGTCACATAATGATCCCAAAATTCAGGAGTGCCTTCTCCTTAGCCAGTTTCAATGTCCTCCCAATATCTGTCATTGAAGGAAGACACTAAAAAATCTCCTTCAAATAGAGAGAGTGTGTCCATGCAGTGGAGGAATAATTGAATTGACAAAACATTATTCTGTAATTGCCCTCTTTATGTAGATGATTACCAGAAATCATTTCCATTCTTTATTAAACATTCTGGTCATTCTGATTTGTTATATCTCAAGATGTTATTAACATATCAATCTGATTTTATTTCCTTGACCATAACCAAGTACTGTTCTATAGCCTGCATGGTAGTCCATAGTATTAATTCTAATATTTTTTCAGATATTTTAGACTTATAGCTTTCTTTTTATCTTAATTAATTGTGACTCTTTTGTTTTATTTGCTGGCCCATAGATTGATTTGATTTATAAGCTACTATTTTATTTCACTCTATGGTAATTGTATTGGCATTTGGCTACATACTTTTTACTTTTCTTTTTTCTCATTTTTAATTAAAATGATTTTTACATTCCAACACTGAGGCTTTTATTTTTACCTCCTCAAAAAGAGTTGCTGTTCTTTGGCCACATGAGTCAAAATTACTAAGGCTATGTGATGATTCCACAGGATGGGTTTTCCTTCATCATCACAATTATTTTCCCAGATTATGGTTCAAGATGTAAGAAAATCATCTCTGTTGTTAGCTTATGTTGAGGAGAAGACCGATCAAGGCATTTCCTTCCTTCAGAAAGAAAAGCAGTAAGGTATTATGTTAATTATAATATAGCTTAAGACTTGCCCCTAGTTTTTGAAATAAACATTCAAGATGAAATCTTAAGTACAAATGTTTTATTGACATTGTAAGAAACATTTTACCCCTCATTATAAAATAACTAAATAGTTTTTGAAAACCTTTGAACACCACATTATGACTGTTTAGGTTGATCTAAGGCTCCAAGAATACTAGATCATAAAAGCAAATTTATCATATGAAGACTACTAAGATCTTCTACATTTAATGCTATTCTTACTATATGTAAATGTATTTTACACACTGATTTTTTAAAAAAAGAATACACTTATAAAAGTAAAAAAAGAAAATAAGAAAATACCACCCTAACATACATTTCTATCTTACATATCTGAAGATTGACAAGTTCCCCCTCCCAAAAAAAGATATTCAAATCCTATGTAGATAATGACACATGAATGCCAAAGAGTCACAGGACAGTATTCAGACAGTTTTCTTAAAAGCAGTAAAGGTATTATGGAAAGCAAAGCTCTACAGTTAAAGTTTGGCACTATTTTTTGGTCCCCCAACTTTAAAAAAAAAAAACAGATTAAGAATAAGGCACATCTATTACAGGAAGAGAAACACAGCTTTTTAAGAAAATGAAAAGAGGACATCCAAAAAACAAATAACCAAAGCAAGAAACCAGCATTTTTAAACATAGTACCATATGACAATTTCCTTTTAGTAAGAACAAAAGTCTAAATTGCTGTCTTGATATTTAAGTGCATTAGGTTCCATTCCATTCTGAAAAGTTCTTTCCTATCTGAGTCTAGCTGTATTTCCTTAAAACTCTCAATGATCTCACAAACCTATTTCTTGAGCGCTGCTCTAGATTGACAAGTTAGGCATATCCAAATGTATTTTTTGTTAATTCAAACATACTACTTGTATGTAAGTGACAATATTATATCAGAGAATAAAAGAAAACATTAAAAAACTAACCAATGTATCCAGCAACATTTCATGTAAAACTCAACACTCAGTTTCTGATGACAGAAATTAAATGGATATAGCACTTTTCCCAAATCTGATTATTTCTAGGTATTTTTTCAATATAGTCTGAGTTATTTGGAGAAGGATACTACACTTAGATACATTTGAAGGGCACAAAGTTTGAAAAGACAGATTTATAATAATGTTTACAACATCCAATTAAGATTTCTGCTCTTAAAATTCCTACCAAATTCACAAATAGAACACACTTTCATATCTGGCTGAGCTAGTAATGGTTATTATTTAGGAAACTGCATATACTGTACCATTAGATGCATGCATAGCACTAGGTGATGCATAGCATGAGGTATATAACTAATTATTTGTGTGTTAGATGTGTAATCTAAACCATTCTGAAGAATTAGGTCACACAGAGATTATGCATATAATACATTACTAATATAACACTGGTTCTTAGAATCAACCTAAGTTCTAATGGACTTGGGAATCTTGTGAAAGAGCCTCAGATTTAATATTTTAACAAGCATTTGGGAAGATAAAATTCTCATGACTATTAAGTCTTAGCTGGTGCAGCAGATTTGCAGTAAGCTCCAACTACTCAGTAACTAAAGTCCTTCACCTTGATATTTCCAAAGTCCAGCTTAAGGAACTGAAAAAAATGACCACTCTGTGAAGAGCTTCAATTAAGAAAACATAAAACAAAACATCAGCAATTATCAAGCAGCACTGAGAAGCTTACACCTTGTCTCATCTCAACAGATATGCAAGAAAACATATAATGTGTCTTAAATATGTATTTTACAAAACTGAATCATTGGAATTATAATTCAAAAATTTGTCCTTTCTTTTGTTGTCACTTTAATAAACAAAATTTTAATGGAAATGAAAGCATAAAAATAAATACATCTGTTTTTATATGGCTCTTATGAAAGAACATTTGAATGGTAGGACAAGTAGCTTTTCCTCTCACTTAGTTGCTTTTTCAATAAACAAATATTACTCTGCACAAGAGCTGCAATGGATAAATTTCAATTTTCATGTTCATTTTATATTGTTCTATGACCTATTGTTAAATCCAGAAAGAAATGCAATATTATTTATTTTGTATAAGGACTCAGACTTGATTATTCAGTCCATTGATTTCAATATTTATTTTAAGTAAGACCCAATTTGGACCCAATACATAGTAATAATAAAAATAAATAGAAATATTTACCAGAGTGATATCCACAATCAAGCAGAAACTTTATCCACCAGTATCAGCCAAAACTGTCATCACAATTTTGGGTATACATGTGGTTAAGTATTTTTAAAAGTTACAGCCTATTTGTGGAGTACTGTCATAAAAAAAACATTTTGATTGCTATAATGCAATGGCTGGATTAGAATTCAACTGTCCAGGCCTTACTGGAAATGAATTATATAAAAAAATCCCAACTATCTTATTTGACAGGACTCAATCAAAGGATTCAAGTACATTTCAGTAATATTTCCTGAGTCCTATCCATAAGAAATTGGATACAGAAAACATGATACATGATAATTCTGACACAGTTGACTAACTAAGACGTTATACAGCTGTTTAGTGAAGTCTAACACTTCAAATGCAACAGCACTCTTGGCCCAACAGCAATGGAGGTTTTTGGGAAATATGGACCAATAAAGTCTTCATTAAAACTCCTGAGTTGTGAAACAATCTCCATAACTGAGTTTTCAATCATTTTATTATTTGTCTGAAATACTAGGAAGCAGTCATTGCTCTCACAGAGCATACACACATTACAGTTAAAATACTTACTATAATTATTTTGGAATGTGTAATAAGATTAAAAAAGTAACTAAAATAGCAGTGAGAAATGAGAAGATAAATAAACTGCAAATGCTGAGTAACTCAAGAAATTGGATTATCTGGAGCAATAAAAGAATAACATGAGATATCAAAATATGATAAATTATATGACAAATCTCAAAGAATGGGTAGCATTTTAAATATTTTGGATGCATACATGTATTAATGTAAATCAATGTAAGCACTATCAATTCTGGTCTTATTATATTAACGTTTGAACAGTGAAGGTACTGGAAAATTGCCTATTCTCTTTAAATACATAGACACATCAACTATTGCTATTATTTTCCTTTGATCAGACTGTCTGCTTTTAGTATATTAAATACCATATGTATCAATATACATTCATATTATCAAACTTGATATTTTCAAACTTAAGTATGTAGGCATGGGCCAGTAGTTTGCTGAACAACTAAATGATTTGAAACTCTTATATGAGTCAGGAAACAAGAATAATTGCTGTTTTAACTCTTCATATGTCTCCATGAATGGAGCACTATCAGCGGTTTCAAATATGAGACATTTATAGCACCATTACATTATTCTGAACTCTGGGTTAGTGCTCCAATTGTAAATGAACAGTGATTGAAAGGAATAAAAAGTTTTGAAAGACACTGAATCCTTAGAAATATATAAATCACATGGCAAGAATGTTAACTAATCTTTCTTTAAAAGTGCATATTTTATTTAAGTCTCAGTAAGGAGATTTATAATAGAGGTGAACAGTAACATGTTTATTCTAATAGGTACATCACAATGTATTAAAAAATGTGAGGCTTATTGTTATATCCCAATGGCTAAAAACCTAACTTAATTTTTGATCAGAGCAGGATATCTAATACTTAACTCTCCCCTCTCACCATGTTAACACTTTTATTGGAATAAATTTCAGGTTTAATTTTTGCTGTTTTCTCAGCCTAGACCAATGATTTCTACCTTGGGTTTGAGACAACTTTAGAGTTTCTTGGAAGCTTATTAATAAAGTGTGAGAATAAGCAACAATACGCAGAATTCTCAGAATGGCAATTTGTTCATTGCCTTTGATCTTCTCCCTATAATATAATCCATTACAATCTTAATCGTGCTGTTAGTTTACACATGGCATTGATGAAATCCAACAAAGCAAGCCAACTTTTTGCATGAAAATTCTGAAAAATTCTGCAGCAGGCAAAATGATATAGAAAAGGGATATAGAGCAAAAGAAATAACCACTTAAAGTATTAATTTTCCCCTCCCGTGCCATAAATTAGTTTACTTTGCTTTCAACAATTCTCATCAATGAAATTTATAGTGAGGTGGACAGAATTTCAAATTTCCCCTCAGAAATGTGTCTTAGAAATTGTTTATCTACAGTAAGAGTTATGGCCATAATCATTCAAGACTTCTTTTAGGTATCAATAAATTGCAATATCAGATCTTCCTCAAAAATAAGCTAACATGCACATTACACTTTTACAGTGGTTTGCAATTACAAAAATAAAAAACAAAGTCATATAAAAAATAAAATAATAAAAAAGAAGGGATGGCATGTGTAACAATACTGATTCAAAGCTGAAATGGAAGACAGTTTCTCCCTAGAACACTTTAGGGTTTTTCAGTTCTAATTCCATAAAAGGAATATACTTGAAACACATCTCATTTAGCTGAGATGAGACTGTTACAGTACTTAAGACAAGTAACAACAACAACAACAAAAAATCACATTTAAAATTTTTTCATACCCTAAGTTGTTTAGGTCTATTGCATAATAGCAAGAAACTTGCTTTCTTCTGCAAGTGAGGTCAACAAAGAATTCATGTCCCCAATAGCCATATTGGTTGTACTTATGGGCATAACTGGGAATGTAAGAAATGCTTGGGGAGTGGTAAGACGGGAAGAATTGTGTGATAGATTCTGAATGATACTGGGACTCAGGGCTCCTGAAATTAAACTGGCATGATCACCATCATCTACAATAGCATCAAAATCAATTTGCACACCTTCAAGGCTGCTTATGTCAATGCTGTCAACTGTGCTTGTCACTTGGTTGACCCCTGGGGAGAGAAGCTCTGATGTACTTTCAGTAGCTACCTCTTGTATTAGGTAATTAGCTTCTGAAAGGGAAAAAGTTTCTGCTTTCAGAGCTTGCTGATTAAACCCTGTGGTTTGGTCATATAACTGACCAGAATAATTCTGCACATTGGAGCAGAATTCTTGTAACTGACCTTGAGATTCTACCTTGATACCTGTAACCCTGTGTGACTGGTTTGTATCCATTAGAAGTCCACATTGCCTCACCATGTTATTCCTTAAAGTGTTTTGCCATCTGTCTCCACAGTGGTTGGAATATAGTTGGTAGGTTTTGGCAAGAACTGATGGATGGGTCCCATTCTGAGACAGGAGTTCTTGGCAGCTAGCTTGTGAGGGAACTATAATTTGCTCTATCATTTTATTGGGAGGTCTTGCTTCTTGGCAATGGCTCACTTCATCTTCTGACTGGTTAGAAAGGTGTTCCTCAAAAACTATATTTCTGCTCTGCATCTTGTTAATTGCATTGGCAGACTGCTCATCTGGCATCACATGATAGCCAAACTTTCGCTGACTTCCACTAGTTAACATGAAATGGCTTCTCAGCTTTTCAACTTGATTCATCACATCACAGCCATTGTTCACAGGTTGTCTGCCAAATTTATTACTATATAGCTGTGATTTATTTGAGTGTAAGTGATAAGAACTTGTGTCATTGTTGTTCATGAGTACATTTTGCTCTATACTGCAAGAAACATTGCTGTCTGCAAGATGCTGATAGGCATTTTGTTGGATAATACCATTTCTCTCCAGTGTCTGCTGCAGCTGCTGTTGAATGACCAAGTTATTATAGGGGCCTATGGTTTGAGTTTGCTGTATTAAGGACTGTGGTCTACATTTTAATTTTGATGGAGATAAGTCAGAACTTCCTGAGCTTACTTCATTCCACTGAATTGGTAGGTCATTTTTCTGAGAGTTGCTTGTTGGAGGAGATTGATCAAAGTTGTTGTTGTTTTCCATTGCTGGATTGTGATGTTCTTTGTTGCTGTGTAGCTCATCATTTGGCAATTGGTTGTACAAACCTTGATTCTGAGAATTCAAATACTGGACCACATCATCTGGTAATAGATCTTCATCATTCAAACAACCATCTGCTTCTGTGGTAGCCGCTTCCATAGCCATATTCTCACAAATACTTGGCGGGCCAGAGGAACATAAATTCTGGAACAAACCAACATCTGGGCAAGTGTAATTCTTTAGGCTAAAGTTTTGTTTTTCAAAGTATGGAGGCAAAGCAGGAGGGTTAAAGCTGTTGAGACTGTTAAAACGGTGGATTCTTGGAAAAGACAGGTTATCTGAGAATGGTCTTGCAGGATCACTAGCTCTTCTTGTGCTATTCCCAAGCATATCATGAGGCAATAGATGTCTCCTGTTGTCACTGTTGGCCCCAGTATCACTACATCTTCGAGGAGAATTTAATGGAGGCAAGGGTGACATCCCAGATTCCCTAGATTCACCCAATAGTGCCATTCTTGTTTTCAAGCTCATCCTCTCCATATTAGGAAGTGGTGTTGGTGGAGGTCCACCAATAGCTGCTGCATATTTTGCTTTCAGCCTATATTGTTGTGTAGGAGTAAGACTGAGAAGTCCAGGCAAGCTGTCACATTGGCTAACTTCACTGGATCGTCTTGAAGCATCAGTTGAAATGGGATCATAGGAATCAGCAACACTGAGGTTCTGAAGCTTTCTGTTCCCCTGAGAAGCATCGCTGGATCTACGACTGGAAAAACAAGGTGAAATCCCAGAGGACCTACGACTGCTCATGTAGGCTGAGCTGATTGTGCTAGTACTGCTATCCCTTCTGTTTAGCATGTTCAGTATAGTAATATCTGTTCTTGTGACTTCATTTTTCTTGGTTAAGATAGTCATGTTTCCTCCAATGCTGCAGCTGCTAGTTGACTGAATATCTGAAAAGAATATTGAAAAGAAACTGATCAGGAGAAATGCCCCAAACCCTTTCAGAAATGCTAACATTTTCTGGGAGGCAACTCTCACCTTAGGAGGCAAACTGTATCATAGATAGGGAAATGTCACTAAGGATATCCAATTGCCCCTCCTATTAGTAGGGACAATCTTTAATAAGGATTCTTTGGCCATCTGGATTAGATAGACAAAAACAATTTGAGAAAAATAGTATCTTAAGCATCCATCGCTAAGCCATAGAGGGCTTTAAAGATATTGACCAGCACCCTGAATTGCACATGGAAACACTAGAAATCAAAGCAGTTTTATAACAGTGGTGTAACATGGTAGTGCTGAAACTGGTTTCTATATGGACTGCTGCATTCAGAATGGTTATATACTGTTCAGGAGTCATATATAAAATGTCAGGTACTAAAGACCAGGTCCAAATGTGAAAGTTCAATTAAACTGATTTATTGCTAAAAGCTGATGCACAGGAATCTCCTCAACTAACAGTCCGCAGCTGGTTAAAGTTAAACAAGGATTAACAGCATTTGAGGAAGGTTGGATTTTGTTTGTGGCTTGGTAGGGATTCTAGGCCAATCCGTCCTTTCATTCTGCCCCCAGATTCTGCCATTCCTTCTCCTACACATATCATATTATAAGCACTTAATTTTGCTCTGGACATAATTGCACCTTATTTTTTATGTGGTGTTAACTTATGACAAGATCATTTTTCTTTTGGTAACAAGTAAATCAATCCCACTGAGTATTGCTATGCTTCCACATGTAAGTACAGTATATTAAGAAGAAGCCATCAAGGATGCTTCTCACTGAACTGCAACTGGTCAAAAAAATTGATATTGAAATCTATATATAGCATTCCTTTCTAGCAGCCAATTGATGGTACCTGTCTGTCACATGGAAAAATCTGAATTCAGTATAGTTCTCACCCCCACAAAAAAAAGTTAAAAATGGACACATAAAATGCTGGAAGTCATATGTATCTTGCAGTTGGCCTTTACTGCCCTGTTTCATACAAAGTAAAGAAAATTAAAATTATTCTTTTAGCTCTTTCTCCATATTACAAATATTTTTTTAAAATTGTAGATGATATTTAAATTGGAAATTATGAGAGCAATAAAAATTAAAAAGGATTTAATCAAACTTATATTGATCTACTAATTTAGTCACTTGAATGCAATAAGGTTTGTCTGGCATGATCTGTTTTTGACAAACCCATGTTGGTGTCTGCTTGTTTCTAGGTGTTCCCAGAACTGTTGTTTGATTATCTTTTCCAAGATCTTCCCAGGTACTGACATCAGACTGATTGGTCTATAGTTTTATGGATACATTTTTTTGAAGATTGGAACCTCATTAGCTCTTTTCCAGTCCTCTGGTAGTTTCCGGTGCTTCGGGATTTTTGAAAGATATGGTGAAATGCCTCAGAAATCATGTCTGCCACTCCTTCAGAATCTTGGAATATTATGCATCTGGTCCTGGTGATTCAAATTAGCCTAGACTGATAGGGGTTGTCTTATCTATTTTGCCTTCTTACCTATTTTGATTTATATTCCTAATACTTTTTTATGGTCCTGTTTTTGTTAGGGTTGGAGTAATTTTTCCTTTTTTGTAAAGATAGATCCAAAGGATGAATTAGGCAATTCTGCTTTCTCTCTGCTACCTGTTATTTTCTTCCCATCTTCCTCCATTAGTGGCAGGGCTTTTCAACCAGTGGTATGGGTACCACCTGTGGTACATTGGCACCTGGCAAGTGGTACATGACCATCTTAGAAAAGTGGTAGTGGGGGAGGGGAATGGGCTGAACCAGTGGCAGCACTGCACAAGCCTGAGTGAGAGATGGCTGGAGTTGCAGGGCTGTCAGGGCTCAGCAGAAGCGCCAGGATCAGTGCCGCTTTCAAGCTGATCGGCGCTTCTTTGGGGCTGTCAGTGCTCAGTGGAAGCGCCAAGATCAGTGCCAGGCTCCAGCTGGAAATTGGCACTGATCCTGGTGCTTCTGCTGAGCCCTGAAGAAGCGCCGATCAGCTGGAATGTTGCAGCATCTCCAGGGTCTTGTGATTTACATTCAGATGCTTGGCAACTGATTCATATTTATGACGGTCACAGTGTCCCAGGATCATGTGACCAAAACCTGCTGCAACTACCCAGCAGATGGGGAGAATAAAAACCAAACACCCCCCACCCCTGCTGCCAATCCTCAACAGAAATGCTCACAACAATGAAAACCTTGGATAGGAGGAAGAGCGCTGCCGGGTAGGCAGGCAGATGTCTTGCTCGGCTGTAGCTTAGGGGCGGGGGGCACTTTTTCAGTGCCATTGTAACTTCTTTTTTCCTTTTTTTTTTTTTTTTTGGTCATCAAGTTTTTGACACCTTGCTAGACGACTGGTAGTATTTGGATATTGCCATATCCTAAAAATGGTACAATGGTTGAAAAGCCCTGCATTAGTGGATTGATAGTTTCCTTAATTTTGTTTTGTTTTTTAACATATTGAAAGAAACTTTTTAAAATTATTTTTTACATTTGCTGTAAGTCTTAGTTTATTTTGGGTCTTACCTTTCCTGATTTCATCTTTGCAGATTCAAGCTATTTGCTGAAATTTTGCTTTATTTATGTATCCCTTTCCATTTTTTATACTTGTCCTTTTTGTCTTTCAATTTATCAGAGAGTTCTTTATGCAACCATGGTTTCGTCCGGTCTCTTATTTTTCTTTTTTTTAGTGGTATTGTGCTAGATTGAGCCTTTATAATCTCTGTTTCCAGAGTTTCCTAAGCTTCTTGAGTTGTTTTTCCCTTTAGGATTTTTATCAATGGAATCCTTGCCAAACTCTTTCTATGTTTGTTGAAATCAAACTATGACAAATAACTATATAGGGCAAATTGCTCTGTTTTTATTTAATTTTTTTTCTATTTTAAGATAATATTCCCATTGTTAAGAGGACTTTTTGCAGTGCTAAGTTCAAATATATTATTTTTACTTTCTCTCTTAAAGAATGAAATCTCAAACACCCAGGTGATACATTCAAATAATTATATTAAATAAACACATCTTACCATTTCCTATGAGAGGTGGCAAAGCTGGGGCTTTGGAAGATGACATTGGGTTCAGTCTTGGAAGCACTCCATTGATTTGCTTTAACTTTTCTAGCTTTACTTGTTCCATCCACTTGGTCTCTGTCATATTTCTCCTGGTCTGTAAACCAAGACCTGTGGTTGCTGTAGAAATGGTAGAATCCATGATAGGGGTTTCATCAATAATGCTGAGGTCTCCTACACTACCTCTATTGGTCAGATTAAGCTCGATCCCGTTGTTGGCATAGTTGCTGATGTAGGACTGTTTGCTGCTGCATGAAGACTGACCACCAGGGCTTGGCTGAGATGTCTGTAGGAAAACAAAAGTTGGTGTCAAAGAAAGAATAGTCATTCATATAAATTTTTCCACCTGTCAGGTAAAAACTACTTGAAACACTTCTGAAGAGATTCAACAATACTTTATTGCTAGTCAATTACAGTATGTTAAGTATCTATTTTCCAAATTAAGGATGCTGTTGATTAATAGAAAAATTGTTCTAAAGCCACTGATTTGTAAAACCTAAATAGCAGATTTTTTTTTTAAAAAAATGGGAATTAGCCAGATATATTTTTCACTAGCAAGTACTCCATATATTATTTATAATATCTACAGTAGTACATTGTCATAAGTGTACAGTTTCTCCAGTTTACAATTTTGGAATTGTAACTTGCAGTTTTGTAGTACAGACTATTGTAGTTCGATGGTTTTAGAGAGGGGCAAATAATGTTCAAGAAACCTTATTCCTTCCTCTTACAAAAAGAAAAAAGGAAAAAATTATCTGTGCGAACAATAATCCTTTCTCAGAAAAATAAAACTCACAGAATAATGGATTTCCTGCAAGTTAAGGAATGCTCCAAATTTTTGCAGAAACTTTTAATAAGGACAAGTATTTGTAAGTAAAATATCTGATATTCCTAATGCATTTTTTCTCTTTGCTCCCAGTACCAAAAATTTAAACTTTTCTACACTTCCTTCTTCTCATCAACTTCATTCATCTGATAAAGTGAAAGAAAAGTACTTTTGAAGGTGCCAGAGGATTCGATTCCCATATTTTTGAAGCAAAATAAGACCTGTCTATAAAACTGAATAACATAATTCCAAATATAACTTTGAATTGCTTAATATAAATAATTTGTATATAGCATATTAGCTTTTTTTTTTTTTTTGGCTAACAGTGAGTTCAGAGTTCATTGTATATGCCAAGTCAACATGCTATGGCTGCTTTTCTATAGTCATTTATATGGGAGTTGTATTCTACTGATCTCACTGTTGTCACATAACAAACATCTATACGTTTGTATTTTAAATCAATTCCCCATACATTTAGAGAGAGAGATTTCCTCCATTTTCTGCTCTGAAATGTTTCAGATAATCAAACATTTAGAAAACTATTTCTGCAGCTGTAGATACTAACAGTATCATCTTCATCATCTTTGAAAATTAGAAATGAGAAATTAAGATATTTAGAACTTTAGTTGTCATAGCTTTAGGGATGCAGCATTCAATATTCATACAATCCTTAAGACTAATTTATTTTGGAATAAAATCTGGATTGTCAAATGCTTTAACAATATGACCCCTGCATCATCTGCGATAAGCAAGCAAGAACTTTCAATATTAACTAGTAGCAACATCAAACTATTCTGCCAAATATATTGTGTTATATGCATTTCGTTCAGATTTAAGTAGCATGTTTTAAATTACTTAGTTCAACATGAAATGTCACTGGAATGGCTACAGCTGAATGCTAGTTGAATGAATAAATCTGAGGGTCAGAACTCTCTTCTTATATCTGGAAAATTCTTCACAGCAGTAGCAACTAAAAAATGATCACATATGTACAGGTAAATATCTACATTTCCATATAAAACTGATTTCCACAAGCTAACTGGGTAGCATGCCATTTGTTATGAAATATGTTTTTATAACAGTTGTGAATACAATTAATGAAATGGTTTCAAGTAGCAAGTAAATGAATTTTTAACCGCAATGAAAATAATGTGGAGAAATTAAAATTCCCTCACCTTATTACCCACTGTCCTTAAGAAGATAGAATATGGCATTAAAAGCATTAGGCAGAAGAAACATTGGATTAGTAAAACGAAAGTAGTAAGACATTTGATTATACAATACACAAACAAATCAATTATTTTAGTGCCAATGTTATATCAAAGTATATTTGATGTTATTCCTGAAATAGTCAATTTTGCCTCTTCACTCTCTAAGCTATTTAGATCCTGGAATATTAACTTTATTAGGAAATATTTTTAGTACACCTTAAATACTTTTAAATTAACATTCAGTCCATCAGGGCCAATTTCTGATTCAGCATCGGATTTGAAGACAAAAAAAAGAGCTTTTCCATATAGGACTGGCCATCCATTCAAGTCAAAATGAGAAAAATATATTTTTCCCACTCTCCATTGATAAGAAAGGCTATCTTAACACAGAACATTATTGTAAGTATCAGAATTTGCATAATAGGATAGGGTGACTTATCATGAAAAATGTTGTGGATAGTTATAGTAGGTATCTAGAGTAGTATGTAATCTACAATTATATATAACTTGATCACGTCTGTCTTTCAAAAACATATTATTTAACAGGGCTAATGGGGACATATTACATCATGAAAGGTTCTATTTCTAATAGAAGTTTTACTCATAAACAAATTAAGACTAATTTCATTCTTACTTATGAGGAAAATATTCCTTTATGATTTTAAATTATATTTGTAATTGACTAGAATTTATAATAAAACTTCATAAAATATTTTTACATTTATATTAGCAATCAATAGTTGCAAAGTACACAATAAATAATGTATCTGTATGGCCACTATTTGATTTTTTTCCCCTTTCCTGTAATATTTGCTTTTCCTAAAATTCCATGGTTTTGCAATGGAATATTGATATAATGGTATCCTCTGAAGCCACAACTTTGGGTTCTTCTATTAATAGATAGAAACTAATTTTAGAATGGCAAGTATATTCTTGGGAAAAGTTCTGTATAATTCCAATAATACTGAGGAGCTTTTCACAAGAAAAAGTCCTACAGGATTGTGAATTAAACAGATAAACTTGTCTGAAAGGTTCAGTGACAGATCTAAATTTCCAAGCCAATGCAATGCATTATCATGCATTATAAATACATTATCATGCATTTACTGGGATACACTTGGTTAGGCTTGATAACAAGGCATTTTGTCAAGAAAGTTGTTATGGAAAATGGTCATTACAATCATTCCAATATAAATAAGCTTTCATAATCTTTGCATCATACATTGTATATTACCACTAATTTTTAACATTTAAATGGTGTTAGAATATTGCAGATACACAAGTCCATTCAAGACTAGACCTCAAATAGCACTCGGTTGTCACTCCCATCACATCTATGACTAGGACAAGCAAATACAAATTTGGGTATACAAATTACATGAAAAGCCATTAAATAGTTTGCTGTTCTCTGTTTGATGAGTTCCTCTGAACTATATAGATTGTACAATACAGTAACTTCCTTATTATTATAAACAGATATTCTGAAAAAAGAACCAAATGTAATCATGCTGTAATAATATTAATGAACAATGTACACTTTCATATCTAAGAAATAAAAAGAAATAGAAGCTTACCACTGGCTTCTCTGACTTAACAGCTTTAACTTCGAGGCATTCTTCACGCATTGAGGTAGTGTTGCTGAGGTCTCTTTGCTCACCAACTACACCTTGAGTCAGGTGGCCTGGTGATCTGCCTTGATCTCTTTGTGGTGGAGGTCTTGGATGGATATCTCCACGTTGCTTCTTAGTGACATGTGCTTCAGGACCATGCACAGTTTTTACATGTTTTCGTAGAGAACTTGGGTCTGTATAGCGCTTTGTGCAGCCTGGTATTTTGCAGACATAGGGTTTCTATAAAGGGAAAAAGTGCTACCATTGGTTTGGGTTTGGGTATACTGCCTTAATTAATTGGATGGAATATTCTGTCCTGCTTCTGAGAATAATAATAACAAGCCAATTACACGAATTGAGCTGAGAGTGACCAAAAGAAGTAATGTGGTAGAATCTCCAGTCATGAGAAAATTTGAACCAGGATTTGATTGTTAAGCTCAAGCACAGTAGTCCTTTTTCACTAATATCTATTTCCCCTTTCAGAAAATTGCTAACGGGCTTTGTATCATTTATATGAACTGGAATAGTAACTTGGCCAATAGGAATATTATTATTCATAGGAACATTTAATATGAAATAGTCTTGATTTTAATATGTTCACTAATATTAAAAAAGAAATGAATTAACACTAGAGATCCTGGATCCCATTTTGTCCTTATTTTATTAGAAACTTTATTCACGGTTGACTTAGGATTCTACCCATATTGTCTTTTTAATATATTAAAAACCAGTCTCCAAACAGAAAAGAAAGAGTTGTGCATCCAAGAAATGCTTGTATAGTATTTGTTACTGCTTCATGTACTTGTTGTGCCAAGAAGACACATAATTTTTATGTGTGTAATCACTAACCAAAAGCAAAAGAAGATGAAAAGTGTGTAATGAGATCAATTATCAGGAGTGATGCACCTGCAGATTATCTACAGTATCAGTGTTTTTTTTTTATAGCAAGCATGGAGTGAGAGAGAGAAGGAACTAATAATCAAATGAATGACTAAATACAGAAGCTATCAGGCACATTTCAGGGTAAATCTGGCTAGCATTGGCTGAGTTAATCAAATGTTTATATTTTTGGCTGAGTTAGAGGTCACTCATAAAAACTTGACAAAATCTTCCTTATAAAACTATCAGAGAGTGCATTGTTTGGGTCTATCTTATGAGTCAAACAGGATTTTATTTGGATGTTGCAGAATTAAAGTTATTCCTTATGTCCCCAAAGAAAACTTGGGTTCTAGAACCAATCACTTTCTTCTGAATCATCATTTTTCTTGAGTTTCATGTCTTTATGTTTTTTTTATATATAGTTGAACTATAAATAAATGTTTTACAATAAATATTTTTGATAGCATTACACTTATGCATTTTTAGAGAATTATACAAACCATATTCTTCTTACCTCATTAGAATGAGTTCTGTTTTGATGTTTGGCACGATCAGATGCATTTGAAAATGCTTTGTTACAACCCTCATGTTCACAAACATATGGTTTCTCTCCAGTGTGAGATCTCAAGTGGGTTTTCAAGTTTTCTAGCCTGGAGTAGGCCTTCATACAGCCTTCAAACTAAGGGCAAAATGTACTATTATATTATTCTAAACATTTTTTTATAGACGGTGAAGTGTGGAAAAAGAAATAAAATAAAATACCCCACATCAAAGGCAGCAGAGCTTTCAAGATCTAGCCATAGCAGCAATATGTTCTAGATTTTCTTCTTCTTTTAAAAAACGATGCTTTTACACAAAAATAATAATTATTTTACATTATAAGGCACTGGCAAGATTGCAAGCCTATGCATGTTTACCAAGTAATAGACAAAAAAAAAAAAAAATGACCATGATCAGTATCTAACCAGTCTAACTATCTCACAAAAAGAGACAGCATGCACAAACTTGGATTTAATTCAGGCCAAGTTTCTAGATATAGTGATTTTAAAAAGGGACTAGTAAAGCCTAATCCTAACCAAGTATCCTCCAGATGTTTGGGGGCTGCAGGTCCCAAAATTTGTAACCATTCTTGACTTTGGAAAGCTCATAAAGTGGAAATTCTTATAACATTCAATATCATAAGATGTGGAGACCACATGTGAAGACTTTAGTAACCTACCCATTTTTTTTTAAAAAAATAGAAGATTAGTTGTAGAAGATTACTTTTCAAAGCTATTAATCCTAATAAGTGGTTGGATTCTTTATATCTTGAATCCAATTACTTAAAACAGGCTATTGTCTTAATACCCTGTTTCATAAAATATCTGCCTGGCTGAAGATGGACTCTGTTGTTATATTTTTGTAGGGCTGATTCATAAAAATGGCATATTCAACATGTTTATAAAGTGTAATTAATTGGAACATATTCTGATTTAAAATTCAAATCTTCATAGAAAAGATGTTCCATTTCTTTCCTGTTTACTCGCTCTATTTTTTTCAAATGGGATAATAGGTTTGGGGCAGATTTATATAATTGCATTACAATACCCATTGTTTCATTTTTAATCCCAGTTCAACTGTGTCCACCTTGAATGACTTTTTGCTTATTGTTCACAGTATGCTCTCTAGCAAATGAAGTCAATGTCATTGACAAATGTAGATAATTTATGAATAAGAAGAAACTCCAACAGTGTACAAACATTACTTTCTGCAGAATATTTTAAGTAAATTTTAATGTGACCAAACTGCATTCAAATAGTAGAAAACAAAGAAGAAAGCAAACCAATAAGCGCCTCCTGGTTTATTATAACAGTGTTTACTTACAGTGCATTTGTGTGGCTTTTCTCCTGTGTGTCTCCTCATATGTACAACTAGCATGTACTGGGCCTTGAATGGTTTCTGCTCTCGAGAACAATCAAGCCATCGACATACAAATTCCTTCTTCTCCCCATGTATGTGATCATTGTTTATATGCTATGTGGATTTAAAAAAAAGTGCTGTTTACTGTATACTCACATTGCACTATTTTACATGCATACAATTATATACCTACATATCTCTGAGGCCAAGAACAAAGGTGAGGGGACTTGAGGTAAAAGTGAGCATAGCAGGGCAGGAGAAGCATGAGATCCTCACCTAACAGCACTATTGTCCTGGCCTAACAACTCAACCTGGACTACTAAAACTTTTGTCCTAAGTGAAGTGATATTTTATCTCATTGCTTAAAGCTGGAAATTACAACACCGATTAGGCCATTACTTCCATATTACATGAGTGTTATTAGTTTTTATGAACATTGGGACAAGGACAAGAAATATGATTCTCTAAATTTTGGTGAACAACTACCTCAAGCATTCTTCATTCTGGCCATGCTACATGGCAGTATTGAGAGCTGTAGTTCAGCAATACTTGGAGAGCCACAAGTTCAGTATCACTTTGCAAGTAATGGGACAAATCTTAATTTAATTTTATATTTCTTCTAACTGACTCAGTATATTATGAACCTTCATGAGCCGCTGTACTGATATGATAAATATCAAATGATAACTGGGAGTGAACAAAGGATTCAAACAAATATTTGATTACTTAGTCCATCTAAATGCAGTATATCATAGTATGCAATAGTTTGCAATGAGCAGGATAATAATTTTTCTACTTACTACAACATTATTTTGCTCCTGTCACACCAATATGAATTGTGGCAATACAATCTCAAGAATGATTTTGAAAAAACGGACAGGAAATTCTAACGCTATCACATAAGAATAGCTATTTTGGTTGGGATAAAATGCCTAGACATTTAAATGAATAAATAAATAACAAGTATGCTTATCAGTATATGCATAGGCCAGGCTTGTATTCTTAAGAATTAAAGTAATGAAAATAACATTAGCATTAAATAATATTTACTTGCCTCCATCTTTCTTTTTATTGGTAAAATGAATTGAGATTCAACAAATGCAAACATTACACTATTTTAATGTAAAATATATTTAAAACCACAAGACCAGGACAAGGTAACCAGATACTTAAAAGTAAAGCAGAAGCACAAATTAATGGCAGACTTGGGTAAATCCATGTATCTTTAGCTATGTAGAAAGCTTACAATCAACCCAAACTGAATACAGTGGTAATTCCACTTTCAGGATGTTTCTATTTGTGAATCTCATTTCCTAGACTGCTGCATAGTAAATTCCAAGAGAATCCTTGAGAGTCTCATTATTAGACTGTAATATCAGCTCAATACCTCTTGTCTTATCTGATACAGAGAAATAAAGGTGGCATTCATTAGTATATGAATTAATTGTATTCCTAATCTCCTAATGATTACCCACATAGCTTTGCAAGAAATTGAAAAAAAAAATTATAGAAAGGAAACCCAAAACAGAATTATTGTGACCCTGTATCTCCAGCTTGCAACCTACAGACCAAATACAGAAGAATGGCATATTAAATAGTATTTAAAGCTGTATAAAACTATGATTCTCTTCCTGTAAAAATCAACCAACCCCCATTTTGGGAATGATAATTTGTGCACCAAGACTTTAGAGCCAATTTCTAAACAGAAACAACAGAATATATATATGTTTTGAATTTATTAGCTGATAATGTTTACATGTGACCTTCCTAAGAAAATGGTTTTCAAAACTCATTGCCATCATCAAATTTAATTAAGTTAATCATAGATAAGTCCAACTGAAAAATGGGAAAAAATTGTCACGCTAATTATTTCATTGATTTCAGTTAGGTTTCTCACAAGTATCTTAATTTAAATGATATTCAATGAAAAACAAATAATAGTAATTTTGAAATGCAATACAATAAAAAACAGCAGGTAATAGATTAAACTAAATTTTGAGCACATGATGTACATCTTATTTCCTTTTTAAATAAATATTTTATTAATTTTGTAATGTTAGGGTTAGGGTTGAGGTTAGGATTAGTTTTTTTTAAAAAAATAACATTTTTAATATTTAGCAAACAGCATATTGTCTGGGTTCATGTATTTAAAAAAACAACAAGAGTTAATTTCTATATTATCATAATTAATATATTGATTAATTGCTCAATAATCTTCTTCTTACTAGTATATATTCAATGTTACATAGTACATATCATGTTCCTTTCTCTCTTACTCGCTTTTCTAGCCATTGATAAAAATTGTCCCATGTTCTAAAGTACACTGGATCTTCTTTCTCTTTTATCTTTAATGTCAATCTGTCCATTTCTGCACAATCTAAAATTTTCTTAATTAGTTCTTCTGTTGGTAAGTTTTCATTTTTTCAATATTGGGCAAATACAATTCTTGCTGCAGTTAATACATATAAAATTAGATATATACAATCTTTCTCGTAGCTGCCTCCTATTAGGCCTAACAGAAACAATTCTGGCTTGAAAGTTATATGTTTTTTACTCATTTTTTTCCAACCACGTGTGTATTTTTGACCAAAATCTTTTAGCTTTAAGGGTATGTCCACCAGATATGATAATAAGTACCTGGTTTTTGTTTACATTTCCAACACTTGTTTGATGTATTTTTGAACATTTTCGCTAATCTCACCGGTGATAGATGTTCTCTGTAAAACATTTTATATAAGTTTTCTTTGTAAGCCACTGCTTTCGTTAATTTAGCATTTCTTTGCCATAATCTTTGCCAGCTTTCTAATTCTATATTATGTCCAAAATTCTTTGCCCATGTTATCATTGCTTCTTTTACTTGTTTCTCTTCCATCTTCAAGTTTAACAAGTATTTATAGATTTTCGTAATCAATTTTTCATCTGTTTTTAGCAGTATCTGGTTTGTGCTTTATAAAATTCTATTCTTTTAGCATCTTTTTCATATCTCGTTTGAATTTGCAAGTATGGCCACCATGATAGATCAATACCTTGTTCTTGTAAATTTCCCTTCATTGTCCAAAATATCTTTACAGGTCACAACTTTCTCGTTTAACTGATTAAATTTGGGTAAGCAAATGCTTTCATTGTTGAAAGCCATCCAGGTATTTTAATATAAATTTTTGCTTTTATTTTTTTCCCATTCTAAAAGAAGTGCATTTCTTACAAAGTGGTTTTGAAAGTATCTATGTATTTTATTCTTCCCATACCACAGAAGTTGTAGGTCATGCCCCTCTAGGTATAATAGTCTTTTACCACTAAGCATTATCTACTCTTTTAGCCATGTTAATAGAGTTGCTTGGTAGTATAGCGTCCAGTCTGGCAAGTCTCCAGGTCCAAGTCCTCCACTTTCTTTCGCTTCTTGTAGCATTTTCAGTCTAATTCTAGCTTTTATTACTTGCCAGATAAATTTCAATATTGTTGTATTTAGTTCATCAAAAAAGGTTTTTCCCAGTCTTATATTTGAAATGTTTGAAATGAAAAGAGTATTTTGGTAAGATATTCATTTTCACTGTTGCTATTCTCCCCAGCACTGAAAGTTGTAAAGTTTTCTATTTTCCAAATCCAATTTTATTTGTTTTAACAATCTTACATACTTGTCTTCTTTTATTATTGCACATCTTATTGTTAAATAAATTCCCAAATATTTAACTTTTTTGACTATTTGAAGGTTTGTTTTTTTGCTAGTTGGTTTTTTTATTTTTCTGTTAAGTTTTTAGTTAGACTTTAGTCTTTTCTCTATTTATTTTCAACCCTGCCACTTCTCCAAATTCTTCTATTTTTTCAATAAACAATTGAACAATTTTTTCAACTGTTTCAAGCAGTTCTTCTAATATGAAAACCAAATGCATGTAGTTTGTATTTTTCATCTTTTATCTCCAATCCTTTAATTTCTATATCTTGCCTGATATTTCTATTCAATACTTTCAGTGTTAATATAAATAATAGTGGAGATAGTGGACATCCCTGTCTTGTGCCTTTTTTAATGTCAAAGTTTTCTGTAAAATCTCCAATTACAATTATTTTACTGTTTGTTTATGATAAATTGTTTTAATTACGTTTGTAAAATTTTCTATCTTGAGGACTACCTGTAGTTGTGGAATTCCTTTTGTTGGATGGTTCTATCTTCTAGAGTCTACTCTAGAGTTGGATCCTGCATATCCGATATTTACATTACGATTCATAACAGTAGCAAAATTACAGTTATAAAGTAGCAACGAAAAGAATTTTATGGTTGGGGGTCACCACAACATAAGGAACTATATTAAAGTGTCGCGGCATTAGGAAGGTTGAGAACCACTGGATTAAAACAAGCAAATCAACTTAGAAGGAGCGGTCGCTGCCTTGGAAATGGAGAAAGCTGAACACTATTTGAGATTTCAGAACATACCCAAAGATTAAAGATCAGAATAATCAGAAGTGATTATTAATCTATTAGCAGAGGCCCTAAAAATTGAAAGATTGGAGATGCAACAAAAAGTGGATAAAATATTTAGAATGAATTTGAGTTACATGAGGAAACACAAATTGCCAGAGAAGTCCATGTAAAATTTATGAAGAAAACAACAAGGAATGAGATATTAAGAAGAGTCAGAAATGACCCATTACAATATAAAGATAAAGAAATAGTAATTCTAAAACAGATTTCCCAAAGAATAAGGGATACTCGAAGACAATATTATTTCCTGACTACAAAGCTGATTGCAAAAGGAGTAAATTTTAGATGGCTGATGCCAAAAGGGATTCTAATCAATTGGAATAATACAAGATACCGAGTGGATTCAGTGTGGAAGACAGAGGATTTTGATGAAAGATATAGAGCATTTCTGGGAGAAAGAACACGATATCAACAAGAGGATGGAAAAAGCCAGAAACAGACAGAACAAACAATAGAGGAAACAATTATACAAGTAGAAGAAGCAAAAGAGAAGATGAATCAAGAAGATGAGGAAACAGTAAGAGAGCAGAGGATTACGAGATCAAGAAGACCTAAATATAAGTAAATCAAAATAGAGAAGGAAAATGGAATCTTTTCAGTGAATGTAAATGGACTGAACTCCCCATCAAAAAGAAAAATA